GAGGAGGAGGAGACGGACGAGGAGGAGGAGGAGGAGGAGGACGAGGAGGAGGACGAGGAGGAGGACGAGGAAGACGAGGAGGAGGACGAGAAGGATGACGAGAAGGAGGAGGAGGAGGAGGAGGAGGAAGAGGAGGAGGAGGATGAGGAGGAGGAGGAGGAGGAGGAGAGGACAGCATTTCCCTGAGTTTCCATGGAGCTACAAGCGTTGGCAGTGTCGCCTGCGAGCGCTCGGCATGCCGCAACACCAGTGGCACCGCCATTTGCGGATTTCCTTGGCGCTGCCGCCCCGCTGGGCAGTCCATTATGGACTCAGAGCGGCTTTGCGGTCGTGGGGTGCATTCCGTGCCGCAACCTTTTGAGGTGCCCAGACCTTGTGCGCTGGCCCTTTGCCCTGCACGTTCGCTTGAGCGCCACCCAGCGTGCTTGCGCGAAGCATGCGCGTCTGCGACAGAACACGTGCCGTTCCCTGACCACCAAGTGGTGCCCACTAGCGTCAGCCTCAGCGATCGGGTGTTCGCGCCGCCTTGGTTCAGGCGCGCCTTGCCTGGCAGGGTGCCGACCAGGCACATCGTCATCATCCTGCGTCTCCTCGCGCTGCCCTGTGGCCGCGGGAGGAGGTGATTCAGCAGGCTCAGCGATGCGCGTGTCTACGACATCGTGATCTGAACAAGACACTTAAGCGGCATATTCAAGCATGTCTAACACAAATATGGTACTTATCTGTGTACGCCTGCTGGCACCACTCTGTGTGCGCATGCACTGCGGCACCTAGCTTCGCACACTTGTCGGCCATACTGTTGCTGTCAAGTGCCCTGCGACCCACGGCTACTGTTCGGGCCACGATCGCATGGGCTGGTACTTTCTGGATCTGCACGGCTCGCGGCCCAATGCTACCCAACTTCTGGATGCAGTGCCAAATCTGCGCCCAGAGCTCCGCATGCGTGCCCCCGGGGCGGGTGCACCATAGCGGGCCGTACGCTACGCCCTCGGTGATGTTGGCGCAGTCCGTCCAAATGCTTGCTGGGACGACTGCCGCCCGGAGCACGGACAAAACGGCCCACAGGTCCACTGGAAAATTGCCTTGGTCAGACTGCGGCGCTGGTCGTGTGCGAGAAGTGGCCCTTGTCATCCACGTGTGCGGAACTTCAGCCGCATCTCCGTAGAAGCGCATACGTGCCCCACAACAGGGAGCCGTCAGTGAAGACCTCGCCCGTGTAGCAGCTGGGGTGAGGTCCTTCATGAAGTACTCGGTTCGACAATGGGAGCTCAGGCACTACGTAGAGTTGTGGAAGTCGACTAATGGAAAAGAAGCATGCTGCCAAATGATTTCCAGATGTTTGAAACATGCTTGGAACATGTTTTACATATGTAAAATCATGTTCGAAACATGTTTAGAACATGTTCTACACATCTAGAGCACCTTTTTTTCAATTCAATGATCGGATTGTTAGAGTGCCACGGTCACGGCAACCACAACACTAGAGCGGCAGGACCTTCGTAGATGCCCCGCCCCCACGGCCACTCCGCAGTGGCAGAGGAGCGCTGGGGTTCGAGGAGGAGGAGGAGGAGCAGGAGGAGGAGGAGGAGGAGGAGGAGGAGGAGGAGGAGGACGGCGAGGAGGAGGAGGAGGAGGAGGAGGAGGAGGAGAGGAGGGGGAGGGGGAGGGGGAGGAGGAGGAGGAGGAGGAGGAGGAGGAGGAGGAAAAGGGCGAACAGAAAGAGCTCCCTCCCCCCCCTCCTCGAGAGAGGGCCTCGGCCCTCGCTGCGGGAGGCGGTGGAAGCCCACGCGCTGCCGGTGCGGTGGCCGCACAGAGCACCGAAGCCACGGGGTGCCCGCGTGTCGTCCTCGAGCTCTCGCGCGCCTGGCAGAGTGGGCTGCCCGCCTTGCCCTTGGCGTGCAGTCGGTTCTGGGGCCACATCTGGAGGAGGAGGAGGCGGAGGACGAGGAGGACGAGGAGGAGGACGAGGAGGACGTCGAGGAGGACGAGAAGGATGACGAGAAGGAGGAGGAGGAGATGGAGGAGGAGGAGGAGGAGGAGGAGGAGGAGGAGGACACACATAATAGTACGACGAAGTGTATGGATAATCACACGACGAAGCATAAGGGTGCTGTTGGCACGAATAAGAATACTGATATCAGTATGAGGAAGGATGAGAAGCCTGATAAGCATGGGAATCATACGACGAAAAAGAAATGATATTACTGCTGATCAGAAGAACACTAATGATACTACGGATAATAAGACGAGCCATACGACACATCAACACGTAAATATAATGCGATTCGCAATAAGAGTAATATTATTACGGGTCACACACATATTCATAATATTCATTTCACTAATTATACTACTAGGACGGAAAATAATACGAGAACGCTACTGAGACACATACTACTTGAATTAATTAGGCGAATAGCTCGAATAATGATAGACACAAGAGTCACATTACAATATGAATACTAGAAATAGTAGCCATGGCCATCACCACCAACTAATAGTCATATGGAACATAGAACAGTACTGTTACGAAGAACAGGAATACGACATTCATTCATATGAATACGAATGCCAACAATGAGCATCACAACACTCATCATAACAAGAGCAAGAGGAGGAGGAGGAGGAGGAGGAGGAGGAGGAGGAGGAGGAGGAGGAGGAGGAGGAGGAGGAGGAGGAGGAAGAAGAGCCCCCAGAGGCCGAAAACAGCGAAAAAGGCCTCCCCTCATGATTCTCTCATGACCCGAGGGGGTCGGGGCCCGGTGTGAGGAGCGAGGCGACGCTGCCGCTGGCGCTGCCGGGCGGCCGAGCAGACCGCCGCAGTCCCCCGCCCGGGGCCCCGCGGCGCGCGCGGCGGACGGCAGCCCGAGCCTGTGGCTGCAGACCGCGCCGCTCTCGGCGCACTACGTGGCCGGGCGGCCTGGGGGCTTCGGGGACCCCGGGGACGACTTCGACCCGAGCAGCGCGGGGGCCGTGCGCCGCTCCGCCGGCCCGTCGACGTGGGGGGTCTTGCTTGCCCTCGGAGCCACAGCGCGCGTCGTGCCCCCCTATGACGGAGCGCTCCTCCCCCCTCTGCCGCTCCCTGGTGTGCCGCTCCCATGACGGACGGTTCCTCCCCCGCCCTCGCCCCAGTGTGCCCCCAGCTGTGCCGCAGTGCGTCCGGCACCACAGCTTGTGGTGCCAGACCTGCGCGGCGGGGGTGGGAGGGGGGCGTTATGTCATGCTTCCCCTCCCCGCCCTCCCCACTGGCTCCCCCAGAATACGATTCAAAGGAGGCTAGCGTACTTCAGTTTGGGTTGGTCTGGCCTCGCGTCGAAGAGCCTCTCATACACGCCGACTGTGTCGGTGTATTGCGAAGGCCTTACGGCCGATGCCGCAGACCCTGTAGGCAGCGACGACGAAGACAATGGAGGTAGAGGGGTCCAAGATGCCCTCAGATGGCTCGAAGACGGCGCCAGATGCCTGCAAGGTCGTCCGAAGACAGTTCAAGAGGCCTCCTCCAGGGTTCGGGAACGGCTCCAGGGAGTGCCAAGATAGGCAAAGAGCGCCCTCAAGTGGCCTGAGAGGGTTCCAATACGGCGTCAAGCGAGGTCCAAAAGCGCCCGCAGAGGCTGTCAAGAGTGCCGCCAGAGGCTGCCAAGAGAGTCTAAAAATTGCGAAAGGTCTCCAAGGAGCCTTCAGGTAGGCTGAAAGGGCCCGCAGACGGCCCCGGAGGGTCAACGGAGCCCCAGGACGCAGGAGGATGAGAGGCGGGGGGCTGCGTATCCGAGGGGGGACCCCCCCCCGGGAGTTGCCCCGGGACCAGCCCCCCTCAGGCGGGGAAGGGATCAAAGGGCCCGCAGACGGCCCCAGATGGTCAACGGAGCCCCAGGACGCAGGAGGAAGAGAGGCGGGGGGTTGCGTATCCGAGGGGGGACCCCCCCCCGGGAGTTGCCCCAGGACCACCCCCCGGGAGTTGCCCCAGGACCCCCCCCCAGCGGGGAAGGGATCAAGGGAAAGGGGTTCCCGTCGACTGAAGGACGACGTTGTTTAATTTTTTGTGGACTTGTGTAGGGAGCCCTCGGAAAGCAGAAGAGGCGACGACGCTGTGGGGAAGACGGAAAAGCCTCTCCCACACGCCGACAGGGTCGGCGGATTTGCAGTTTTTGTTTGTTTACTTGCGGAGCCAGGTGAAATTTTGTAGGCCCCGCTGACTGACCAAGTGAATTATGAATTGTACTGATTGAACTGGGGGGCATTTTTGACATCACTTTTCGCAGGCGCACCCGCAAGCGCAAACAGGCGACACATTTTGACCCGCCCGCGGGCGCAACCGCAACCGTAACCAGGCGACGCATTTCAACCCACCCACGGGCGCAACCGCAACCGCAACCAGGCGACACATTTCAACCCGCCCGCGGGCGCAACCGCAACCGCAACCGCCCGCAACCAGGTGACATTTCAACCCGCCCGCGGGCGCAACCGCAACCGCAACCGCAACCAGGCGGCACATTCCAACTAGCCCACAGGCACAACCGCAACCACAACCGCAACCAGGCAACACATTTCAACCTGCCCGCGGGCGCAACCGCAACCGCAGCCAGGCGACACATTTCAACACGCCCGCGGGCGCAGCGCAATTGCAACCAGGCGGCATATTTCAACCCGCCCGCGGGCGCAACCGCAAACCGCAAACAGGCGACACATTTCAACCCGCCCGCGGGCGCAACCGCTAACCGCAAACAGGCGACACATTTCAACCCGCCCGCGGGCGCAACCGCAACCGCAGCCGCAATCAGGCGCACATTTCAACCCGCCCGCGGGCGCAACCGCAACCGCCCCAGGCGGCACAGTCCAACCCGCCCGCGGGCACAACCGCAACCGCAACCTGGCGACACATTTCAACCCGCCCGCGGGCGCAACCGCAACCGCAACCGCAACCAGGCGACACATTTTAGCCCGCCCGCTGTCGCAACCGTCCGAGGAGCAGGAGGTGCAGGAGCACGAGGAAGAGGTGGAATGCAGAGAGGGAGCGGGAAGAGGAGGATGGGCAGAACGGCCAGAAGGAGGAGGAGTAGGAAGACGACGACGACGATGAGGGGGATGCAGGGGTGGCCGTGTTTGAGTGGGTTGCAGGAGCAGGTGGCGGTGGAGGATGAAACCCACTGGCACGATAGGAAGATGGAGTGCCTGGAGGATGAGAAGGAGGCGGAGGCCGATGAGGATGAGGAGGAAGAGGAAGAAGAAGAAGAGGAGGAGGAGGAGGAGAAGGAGGAGGAGGGGGAGGATAAGGACAAGGACAAGGCCGTTGGGGGTCTGTGTCTCTAGCTTGACTCGAAACACTTCGGACCGATCCCTGGGTGATGAGATTGAAGCTGGCCCCGACCCTTGCGATCGAGGGCTGCCGGGCGCGCGCGACCCCCGACCCTTGCGATCGGGGGCCGCTGCGCCGTCAGCAGGGGGACCCTGCCTTGGTGCACAGGTGGCTCGGACGCAGGCGGCCTGCGGTGCATGCCCGTGGAGGCGGGCCCCACGGTCGCTGAGAGCACTCCTCCTCCCCCCGCTCCCCCTCTCCTATTCCACACCCCCACCACCTCTCTCACTGCCGACGGCGCAAGCAGCGGAACCCAAACCTGCTGTTAATGGATGGGAGCCCGCCTGCTGCTAACTGGATCCTTGCCGTCGATCTGGAATGGCCTCATTGGCAGAAGACTGCTCGACGGCAGGGCTTTCTGGCGTTGACGGGAGGGGCTCCGCTAACAAACATGCAGGGGTGTTGATCTCACGGCTCACGACATGCAGCCCAGCCCCCACCCCGCCTCTTCTGCAACCGACAGGAGGTCCCCACCCGGGCTCGGCGCGCTCGGCTCCGCTGGGAGTCCTGGCGGGGGTGGGGGCTGGATCTGCAACTGCGACGGCAACACTCTCACGTACGGCGTCCACCCCTGGATCGACTTGCTCGGGTTGGTGCACTTCGTGCGTTGCTGCGTGCCGTTCTTGTGCGGCTGCTGTGCACCGTCGATGCTGTTCTGGTCGATCATCGCCACCTCATCGTAGCCCCGTGTAGTGGCCCTCGAGCTCATCGTCCAGCTCCCACTGGTACGGGCCCTTGATGAGCCTGCTCTGTTTGCCGAGGACGCCCTCCACGCCGCGGCAGTGCTCGATGGTGTTGCAGATTTCGTGCTGCTGCTGCTGCAATAGCTCTGTCGCGTGGATACGGTCGATCTCCTCCTACTGGTTCGGGCTCTTGCTCGCGATGATCCTCGACAAGCTGGTGATGATGCGGTCCTGCTGCTTGTAGAGGCCGTAGAGCACCTGCTAGTTGTACTGGGTGAGGCCGTCGAACTTCTCGCCCGTGCTCTGCGCCGTCTTGTGGCAGGTCTCCAAGCGGTACTGTATGGACCCACTCGATCGCCAGGGCCTTCGCCGCGATCGCCACCTGCTCCGTCGCCTCAGGCGTCGGCGGCTGCGCCGCAGCGGCCGCTGCCGCCGCCCATGCGGTCGGGCTGCGCTGCTGCGCCATGCCGAAATGAGAGCAGGTGTCGGTACCTCCAACTGGTCCCACGCGTGGGGGATGCTGAAACGCTCGGGTCGAGTCGAAGGGGCCGCGGTAGGAGAAGAGCCTGGATGGTGTTGGAATCGGGGCTTGTCGCCTGGTACGCCTGGCCTATGCCTGGTTGTTTCCTGAGCTGGGGGGACACATTGACATAGTGAAGAGGGCGATGGCAGGTCCGTAGTTGTGTCGGTTGTGGTGGAAGATTGCGAAACATCGGGAGGAGGAGTAGGCGTCTTGGTCAGTCTTTGAGTCCTGGTTCTGTCCTGGTTTGGCTCTTCCTTCGACTCTCGAGGCCCCGTAGTTGGTAGTCCCCTAAGAGGCCCTTTGATGTCCCCTCTAGTGGGTGGGGTAGGTGAGCACCGATGTCGGTCCGCAGTCTTCTCGTTGATGGCTACAATTTCGTAGGTGGGTCCACATTCGTACACGTACTCGTACGTGTCCATCTGTCGTGAGGTCCTGATTTCGGTAGCTGGTTGCGTTTGTTCTGCACCTGATGGGGGGGTGGCGAAGGGGCCGGGGGATGAAAGGGGGAGGAGGAGAGGGGCGTAAATGGGCCTAGGAGGAGTTGCAGCCTCGGTTTCAGCATCACGGGGACGAGGAAAGTGAGGGTGGGCAAACGGACGGGGGATGCGCTGCACCAGGGCGCAGGGGAGGGGAGGAGGGCAAGGATACGGATGATGGGGGAGCGCGCAAGGCGGAGGAGGACGAGGAGGGACGACATGAAAGGGCATTGGAGAGCGCGAAAACGAGGAGCGGGAGGGGTATCAGGAGGGGGAGGAATCGCACGGACATGGGGAGGATGAGGTGAAGGCACGGGGATGCGGGAGGAGGCGGGGGACGGGGCATGAGGGTGAGGCAGTTGCCAGCTAACGCTGAGTTCATCGGTGTTTCGCGTGTCCGTGCACTCCCGCAGAAACTAGTTACCGGTTGCAGAACTGCGCTATTTGGGTAGTCGTGCGCGACGTTCGTCTAGGCCAAAGGCTCGCGTCTATGACATTCCTTGGCGTCGCGTTGATGCCGTCCTTCTTCAACAAACTGCATATGCACAGATTGGCTGAATCAGTGTTTCAACGTTTGCCTCATAGCTTCCCCTATAGTAACAGACCAACGACGGAATCCAACCTGATGCCGATGTGTCTAGTAGTGGGGAGGGTAGTAGTTGGGGGGAGGTGGGACCGTAATATGTGAGAGTAGGCTGGCAGATAGTGTTTGGACACTCTGATCTCATTGTTATCCCATGGCCTGATAGTATGCCCTCGAACGTTGCTCCCGATAGTAGGTCACCTTGCGTAGTGTCCGCCATATGGCCCCCACATCCTGCAGCTTTGTCTCGTAGTATCGTGTATCGCTCGAGGTCGCTGCTGATCTGCATCGCGAGTTCTCCCTCCCGAGTGTGCGGCGGGGCAGAGGGGGGCCAGTCGCTT